CTGGTTCAGGAGAAATAAGATTATAACGGAACGATATTCCCTAACTTCTAGTGACTCTTGTCAGAACTCAGAACACTTAAATTGACACACGTTATTATTTTTAAAATGCCAAACATTGGGGCTGGGGATGTGGCTCAAGCGGTAGTGCGCTCGCCTGGCATGCGTGCGGCCCGGGTTCGATCCTCAGCACCACATACAAAGATGTTGTGTCCGCCGAAAACTGAAAAATAAATATTAAAAAATTCTCTCTCTCCCTCCCTCTCTCACTCTATCTTTAAAAAAATAAAATAAAATAAAATGCCAAACATTTGAAATTCTGTCGAATTGTTAGTTTTGGATAACCGAATCAACACCAGTTTGAATTTAAACAGTAAGACGATGGAAACATCTTCTGCAATCTCACTTGACATAAAATTTCAGTGAAGTATATTCAGAAATGTTGAGTTGTCCAAGGTGACACAGGACATCTATTTGGCCTATTTTGGCTCAGTAACATCTCTCTCCTGCTGAATTATTGTGATTTGTGTGTGTGTGTGTGTGTGTGTGTGTATGTGCAACCAAAAATTCATGCATTTATTCACTGTTCTGCACCAATCCTCTTTACATAATGAGCTAGTTTTCTTTGGCTCTCAAAAGCTGATAGTTTATGAACATACCAAATCTTATTAGTAGTATGGTGTAGTGTATTTTAACACAGGCAGTATGAGGTATAGTGGTAGTACAAAGGACTTTTCTTCAGTGTACTCTCCAGAAGTCAAGGGAAGAAGTTGGTATGATTGATTGGAGCAGAAGTCCTTCGGGAAGATACAATGGAACAGATGGTTGTCCCAGATCACATTTCCCCCCCCCCCCCCCCCCCCGTGGCAACAGGAAGGTAGTGGGAAACCACTGAAGAATTTTAATGAAAAAAAGAAAAAAAAGTTTATGTAATTATGTAAGAATACCAACCAATGTAAGTTCTATGAAAGTGAGACTGTGTCTTTTATTTATTTATTTGTTTTTTAGGTGTAGATGGACACAATATCTTTATTTATTTTTATGTGGTGCTGAGGATCTAACCCAGTGCCTCAAATGTGTGAGGCAGGCGCTGTACCACTGAGCTAGCTATAGCCCCAGCCCAGGACTGTGTCTTTTTAATGATTAGAGTCCCAGGGCTTGCGTATGGTTTAGGTATGTGGTGTCCCCCAAAAGCTCATGTGTGAAACATTATGTGTGAAAGTTTAGAGGTGACTGATAGGGTTATGATACTCTTAACCTGAAAAGTGAATTAACACCCTGATGGGGATTAACAGGATAGTTACTGTACCCAGGCCAGGTGGCTGGAGAAGGTGAGTCATTGGGGGCATACCTTTGGGGTATCTGTTTTGTATGTGATGAGTGAAGACTGTCTGCTTCCTGGTGATGTCCTGAGCCACTTTGCTCCAACCACACTCTTCCACCATGATGTTCAGCTTCATCTTAAGCCCCAAAGAATAGAGCTGAAGGTGGACTGAGACCTCTGAAACCATAATCCCCCAAATAAACTTTTACATCTCTAATTGTTCTTGTGAGGTCTTTTGGTTACAGCAACGAAATAGCTAACTAAAACAGCTTGATACACAGAAACATTGTGTTCAATAAAGAAAAACTGGTGAGATACAGTTCTATGAATTGGACATATTGAGAATGGAATCAGAAGATGAGTTCAGAGTTCCTAGGACTGACCACACAAGAGACACAGAAGGCTTAACTTAAGCGTAGAAAGGGAGAACTGGGGCAGGGAATGGCAGCCAGAAGTGGATACACAGTATCTGAGAACTACTTGAAATAAGGGGTGAGGTAGAAAGTACTGTGGGAAAGGAATCAAAAATGGTTCCCATAGTTGGAGCCATGGTCTGAATGTCTGTGTGCCTCCAAAGTTCATTTGTTGAAATCTAACCTGCAGTGTGTTAGTGCATTAAGAGGTGGGTCCTTGGGGGAGGTGACTAGGTCATGAGAGCAGAGCCATCATGAATGGGGTTAATGCCCTTAAATGAAGGACTGTGAAAGCTTGTTTGTCCCCTTTGCCCTTCCACCATGGGAAGACACAGAAGTCACCATCAATGAGGAAGAGGTCCTCACCAGACACAGAATCTGCTGGAGCCTTGATCCTGGATTTCCCACCCCTCTGAAACTGTGAGCAATAAATTTATGTTGATAAATTACCCAATCTAAGGTATTTTATTATAGTAGCCTGAATATACCAAGACTCCTGGCTTCATTTATTTATTTGAAAGATATCAACTATGTCTTTAAAAAAATACCAGAAAATGTTGTTTGTATTTTTTTTTCTTTTTTATTTGATGAGACTGTGGGCTGTGCATGCAGAAATATTCAATAAATGGTAACCAGACCCTCTCCTCTAGCACCTGGTTACCGGCAGTCTTCATTCCCTTATCTCCCACTGTTGCTTCTCTTCCTCTTGAACTTGCACTCACCAAAATGGTCTCCATAGCAACAAAATTTAGTGGTCTCTTGTAAGTCCTTGTGTTGCTTGACTTCTTGGCAGCAATTGACATTGACTGGTCCTTGAAGCATTTTCTTCCCAGGGCTTCCATAATATTATACTCTCTTGCTTTTCCACCCAAGGGGTGGGAGGCACAGAAGCTCCTCCAGACTGCTATTACTTCTCTACCCTAGGGCTCAACTCTAAATCCTCTTTTCAATCTCTTCCTTTGTCTAGGATAATTTGATTCACTCTTATGGCATTACTTATCTTTTTCTATCAACAAATCTTCATCTTACAGCTCAAACCAGCATCTTGAGCTGCAGACCTGGTATCTAACTACTACTCAACAAAAGTACTTGAAGGTCTCAAAGATCTTTAAATTCATTACATCCAAATTGAAATCTCTACCTTCTTTTCCCAAGATGGTGCTCTTCCTCCAGTCATCTCCATGAATACCACTCCTTCCATGTGGCTACCTAGGGCAGAAACCCAGCAGTTGAACCTGAGCATAACAACACATGCCCATAATCCCAGAAACCCAGGAGGCTGAAGCAAAAGGATTGCAAGTTCTATGCAATTTAAGGAGATCCTGTTTCAAAAAATAAAAAGGGTACCACTGTTTCAATTCCCAGGAAAACACACACACACACAGAACACCCTAATCTGGTGTCAGGGTGAAAGATCTGCACCTACTATCCCTCAGCTGCCCCCACCCGCCTTTCCCCTACCCTTCGCTGGACTTTTCATTTCTGTTACCCAAACCTCGGTCCTTGTCCCCAATGACAATCCAATACTGAGAAAACAGTTTTAAGAAAAAGGAAAAAAGTTTATTGTTTTGCTAGCAAGGTAGAAACACAGGGGACTCCTGTCCCAGAGACTCTGATTCTGCCCATCAGTGGGAACAGGGGGTTTTTAAAGAGGTGATTCAAAGCTACATTCCATGTGTTCTCTGTTGGAGTTACAATTTGCTTGTTAATTTGGGAGATAGTCATTTCCGAGATCTTCTGGTACCATCCCCAAAGTCTGGATTACTTCATTCCTATGGTGGGTATGTCCAAGGACAGATACATCTGCCTTGAAAGGTAATCCTATTTTCCTGAGATTAAGGAGTATGGAGAGAGGAAGAGAAAGAAACATGTCTATTTAAAAAAACAGTTGCAGAGCAGCAAGGGGTATAGTCAAAGCATAAATTGATTCACTGTTACATTTCCACCAATTAATGCTTCCTCTTCAGAGTAAGAACACCTACCCAGGTAATGTAATGCCAGATTTGTGGGACCCCAATAAACCTCCAGGAGCCGAATTCTTGCAATCACACAAAAGTCTTTATTGCAAGCTTGAGCCTAGACTCACAACCCGAGGAGTGAGTCCTGACCCTTAGTTCAGTGAGGATTTATAGTTTTTTGGGGGAAACTCTATTCGTCACAACATCACATGCAAATCATTTTATACCGCGGGAAAATCAAACAACAACTCTTAACATTGATTGGCGCGAACAAGTCAGGTAAGGGTGATTGGTTAGTTCAAGCGATGGATAAGTTTGAACTGATTGGTTTAGGCTTCAAGGGGTTGCAAGAGTGTATATGCTAAACTTGCAGGGTTGCCTAATCCTGTTATCAATCACCGAAACTACTGGGAGGGACACCTGGCATTTCAGATATTTTCCCTGTCTCATGCTGATTGGTGGTTGCTAGGGGGTTGCTATGGGTCCTCACCTAGCTTAACTGAGTCAGGGACACCTGGCCCCGCAGATCTCTCCAATTATTTACATACAAACAACTCAGCAGGGTGGCTATGTGCCTTGGAGTGCTCTGTGGGTTTTCCCAAGAAAAAGGGTCATGCCCCCTCCCTCTGGACAGGCCTTGAGGTAGAAGCTGGTTTCTCAAAAATGGAGTCACATCACTTTCTCAGTAACAAGATACCTAAATTTCATCCTAGCAAGGCAACTGACTATTTAATCTTAGACATTATGCCTTCTTAACCTCTCCATGCCTCATTTTCCTCATGTGTGTTTGAGGAATAATAACAACACCCATATCAAAGCTTGCTGTATTAAATGTTATATGCAAAACACTTGGTCAGATGCCTACTTTGTAGTAAGCTTATGAAATATGAACATTATTTTACATAAGTACTAAATACTGGGGGAATGTGATGATACTTTAATAAGGATTTCAGTGGGGAAGGAGGAAGAAAATATTAATTACATGCAAATATGATAAGTAGAAAGTGCAAAGTAAAGCAGAAAACAAAAGGAACATAGAATCCTGCTGGTTGGTCCTCATCTACATCCTCAGAAACCAAAGCCATAGCAATGGGTGGGAGGCTCAGAAGATCCTCCAGACTGCAGGTGGCGCTGCAGCACCCTCAGAAAGCAAGAGATAGGAGGTTGAGCTGCCAAGGTCACGTGTCTCCGCGTTTGGCGCCCCGGCGTTCATCACCTCTTTGCTCCACGTAACCCACATCCTCGGGGATGATTGGTCTGCGTGAGGCACGTGGCCAGGGCTGGGGCGGGGCGGGGCGGGGTGGGCGGAGGGGTGGGGTCGGGGGGCGGAGCTGGAGGGGGCTGGTTCGGCGCGGGGGCCGTTGGCTCCAGACAAATAAACATGGAGTCCATCTTCCACGAGAAAGTGAGTGTCCGCGTTCGGTGGGAACCAGTCCGCGGTGCGGTGGCGGTCTTGGGGTGCGGTATCGCAGTCTCCTGGGGAGCTGGGTGGGGCCCGAGGTGCCCCGATCCCGACCTTGCCGGACGAGGGGTGCCGCCTGCCTGCTCGGCCCGGGGTGGGGAGCTTCCCCTACGCTCCCAAGGCACCCTCCGCCCCTGCGGCACCGGTTCCGGGAGCCGGGAGAGAACGAGGGCCAGGGCTGGGCCGGGGGCGGCGCTGGGCGGGATAGCTTTGGCGGTTCTCCGCCACTTCATGTAGCCTTTTTGGAGGATTCCTTCTGTCCCCCACCTCTCCTACTAGAGTATGGCTAGTCACCTCTCCAACACCTTGCTGGACCTTTTCCAATTCCACCAGCCCACCCTGGGAAGAATGAACTTTCCCTTTCCTGGGCTCTCCGGTTCTACAATGGAATCCTCCCCCATGCACTTAGATCTTTGGGGTCTAATTCATGTCCTGCACTAGGGCGGGGACCTTGGCTCGCCCATTGTAGGGCCTGACACTTAGGAAGTGCAGTAGGGAAGTCGTCACAAGAGTTTTTATTACGGGATGTGGGTTTGGTTTCTTTTGGTGTTCCATCTTTCCGGATTGGGAGGCCAGCTTTGGTATTAGGTATTAGGCGTGAACTGAAATAATTTTGTTGTGATCTGCCCAGCCTTAATTCTCCAGTGGCCACAAACTGAAGATACTGTCTGTGGCATCCTGAGAAACTGGTCTTTTCTCATATACAATTATCAATCCATTTGGGTGTGAGTGAAGCTTTCCTGGGACAGTTTTGGCATATGATATCTTGTTTCATAATAGTTTCATGTTTGGAAAGGGCTGTTAATGAGGCTACTTATTTAGTAGGAGCAAAGGTTTTTTTGTTTTATTAAGTACCTATGAGTGATCATTCATCCAAGACATGTAAAAACTCACACATACCTGCACCGCAGTCAAAGCAAATTCAGAAAAACATGGCATAAATCTGTAAATATAAATAAATTGTTAAATGCAGTATTTTTTAGAAAGTATTTCAAAATTTTAGAAAACATTTCAGAATGTCCTGAAACTGGAACAGAACAATTTTTATGTATGGGGATGGAAGTACTCAGCGCTACAATTAGCAGTAATCTTTTTACTTGGTTGGACAGATTTATGAATTTTGGGCAAGAAAGATTTAGTTGTTTAACTAAGGAGATTGAGAACTATACATGTTGTGGGAGTGTGTGTTTTCATACTACAGAATGAGCCCAGGGGCATTCTACCACTGAGTTTTCTTATTGTTTATTTTTGAGATAGGGGTCTCAATGTTAATTGTCCAGGCTGACCTGCAACATGCAGTCCTTCTGCCTTAGCCTGGGATTATGTGTGTGTGCCATGGTGCTCTTGCATGTATATATTTTTATAATTAATTTTCAAAGGCTTTGGCATAGAACAAAATGTTTTGGCATGGAAGACTTTGGACACTTTCTGCTTGGTGAGATTCATATGTTTTTTTGTTTGTTTTTGGGGGGGCCAGTGAGGATTGAACCCAGAGGCGCTTTTATCACTTAGCTACATCCTAACCCTATTTATTTATTTATTTTTTAAGATAGGGTCTCACTAAGTTACTTAGGGCCTTGCTAAGATACTGAGGCTGACCTCCAATTTAGCAATCCTCCTGCCTGCCTCATCCTCCAGTTTAGCTGGGCTCAACTGGTGTGCCACCTCACCCAGCTCATATATTTTTAACAATATTGTTACTTCATCTGGATAGATTTCGGGAATGACTGAACCGTGGATTCAAAAGATGAGCATGCATGCCTGTAATCCCAGCTACTTGAGAGGCTGAGGTAGGAGAATGGGAAGTTTGAGGCCAACTAGGCAGTTTAATGAGACCCTGTTTCAAATTAAATTTTTTAAAAAAGGGCTGGGAATGTAGCTCTATAGTAGAGTGCTCACCTAGAATGTGGGAATGAGAGGCCTGAGTTCCATCTCCAGCATTGCAGGAAAAAAAAAAAAAAAAAAAAAAGAAGTTGTTGAACACTTGTCTGATGGAAAATCTACATACCCAAAAGAGGTCACTCTGAATTTTCAGCATGTGTATGTTTAGTGGCGCATCATAGTGCATGCCTATAATCCCAATTCAAATCCAGCCTCAGCAATTCAGTGAGGCCCTAAGCAACTCAGTGAGACCCTGTCTTTAATAAGATATAAAAGAGGCTGGGGATGTTGCTCGGTGATTAAGCTTCCCTGGATTTAATCTCTGGTACCAAAAAAACACTTCAGGAATACATTTATCTTTATCATCAACTTATATGGCCCTAGTGTATAAAGACTCTTAAAGTTCTGGCACATTTCAAGAGAATGTACCTGTAACCATTGGTTCCATTGTTAATCATGTACTCAGTCCAGTTTGAGAATGTTTGAGCTTAATGTACCATTTTTCAGAGTATTCTCTTCCCTTCCACAACACATTTTTAACCCTTAAGCCAGAACCAACTTTGGCTCCAAAAAAGAACAAGAAAAAAATCCCACCTGTGTAGGTAGGAATCTCTGCCTGCAGAGGGCTTGCAACCTGTTATCTTGGAACATTGGTTTTCCTATTTTTCACTTTGAGTACCCTTATTAAGTTAGAGCATGAAAAGCTGTTGTTCATTGATAGATCTCTGGCAGTCTAAGATAATAATATTTGAATGGGGGCTGGGGATATGGCTCAAGCGGTAGCGCGCTCGCCTGGCATACGTGCGGCCCGGGTTTGATCCTCAGCACCACATACAAACAAAGATGTTGTATCCGCCGAAAACTAAAAAATAAATATTAAAAATTCTCTCTCTCTCTTTAAAAAAAAATAATATTTGAATGGATCGAGAGAGTTCCTTAGCTGGGTACAGTTATGTGTACCCTGTAGTCCCAACTACTTCTGAGGCTGAGACAGGAGGGTCCTTCGAGGCCAGCTGAGGCAACGTAGTGAGGCTCCATCTCAAAAAATAGCAAAACAAACAAAACACAGTTCCTTGAGCATCTAAGATGTATGCAGTGCTATTTAAACAACATTATCTGTAGCTATTTTAAAGTTTTGCTGGCCATATATGTCTCTATCACATATTTTCTTTTATTTGGTACCAGGAATTGAACCAGGGGAACTTAATCATCAAGCCACAATCCCCAGCTCTCTCTCTCTCTTTTTTTTTTTTGTATTTTATTTAGAGACAGGTCTCATGATGTTGCTGAGGCTGGCTTTGAACTCTCCAATCCTCCTGCCTCAGCCTCCTGAGCCACTGGGATACAAGTGTGCTTCACCATGCCTGGCTTCTATCACATGTGTGTGTGTGTGTGTGTGTGTGTGTGTTTTATCAACTGTCTATAAAAACTATTCTTAGCTATTGGAGCAGGTTGAATTTGTCCCCAAATGCTAAAATTTATCAAACCCTAACCTAAACCCTAATACTAAATGACCAATAACTGCTGATTTTAAAGGTATTTTAGGGTTCTTTTTCTGGTGCTTGCTTTCTGTCTTTTGGTGGGGGGACCAGGGATTGAACCCAGAGGTGCTTAACCACCAAGCTACACCCCCATCCCTTTTTTATATTTTATTAGAGACAAGGTCTCACTGAGTTTCTTAGGGCCTTGCTAAGTTACTGAGGCTGGGTTTGTACTCAAGATCCTCCTGCCTCAGCCTCCCAAGTTGCTGGGCCAGGTGTATGCCACTGCGCCTAGTTAGATGCTTTCTGTCATTTTTGTTATCACTTATATTGCTCACTGCTCTTGGTGTAGTCACTGTGTTATCTAAATTGGTACTTTTAATGTAATATGAAATGGGAATGAGAATCATGAAAAGATACTGAGCTTTGACTTTGTGACATCCATCATGCCTTTTTGTGGTTGCTGGCTCTTAGCTGTCTTTAGGGTATTTAGGACTGAGCAAAAGCCAAATTCCAGGTAAGTGGCTTGAGAAAGTGGTAATAGTACAGACTTTGAAACCTCTATCTGGGTTTGAACTCCAGCTCTGCCAAGTGGTATCTGGATGATCCTGGCCAAGGCATTGACTATTGTGCTCCAGTCCGGTCCCCTTCTGTAATGTAAGGGTACCGAGTGTCTGCCTCGAAGGCAGAAGTTCTTGTAGGTACCTGGAGTGTGGCAGTGCTACAGAGGTGCTAGCCATTGCTTCTACTCAGATTCTTGTGCTTTCTGGACATCATGCTAAGGGGTGAGAGAGGACTGGGAGTGTAGCTCAGACGTAGAGTGACTTACCATGCCTAAGGCCTTGGGTTCAGTCTCCAGCATTGACAAAAACAATGCAAACAAAAAACAGGTGAGAGAACACTGGGAGTTGAAGAGGTAGAGCCAAGTCATCTTCCACCGTGATGGCTATGACTTGAGGGACAGTGACCCTCCCATTCCAACCCATTTATCCCTTACAACTGGAGATTGCATGTCCCCTGCTAACCTGTTTCTCAGAGCACCCTTAGGGTTATACCTGGTTTCTATGGTAGCTAATAGATTGGTCAAGACTGGGAGTAGTTTCCTTTCATGGTTTTATAAACTATTTCATCTCGTAGACCTGGAGGTGCAGTTTGCTTATCCTTTGAGCCCAACAAAATAAAATCTGGGCCTGAAGTCACAGAATTTTAATACACTGAACGTTAAATAACAAAGTGAGTTTCTGTTCTGCTTGGGTAAATACTTGATTAGAGAGAGGTAACTGGGGACAGATAGTTTAAGATGGAGGCAGAGCAGGAAAGTGGGTAATTTCATGTTGGCTTATTATACAAGTTTTTTTCCCCCATGTAGGATTTGATCTGTCTTGTGAAGTGATTCTTAAATTTGGACTGAATAAGCCAGGTGTAGTGGAACACACCTGTAATCCCAGCTACTTGGGAGCCTAAGGGAGGAGGATCACAAGTTCAAGACCAGTCTCAGCAACTTAGAGAAACCCTGTCTCAAAGAGTAAAAAGGGGTGGGGATGAAGCTCAGTGGTAGAGCATGCAGAAGGCCTTGGGTTCAATCACCAGTACTGCAAAAGAAAAAAAAAAGAATTTGTTCTTTTCTATTAAATTGTGTTACAAGTACAGAGTTTGGTATTTCCTACAGCATTACAGTTTTACTTGGACAATCTTTCATTTTAAGTGCTAAATTTCCATAATTGAAAGCTAAGTTTTGGTAGAGAGGTGTTTTATAAACCATCCGGATATCACTATTTTGATATGATATATTAAGTATGGTGATCATAATTTGTGAACTCCAAACAAAGGCATGAATCCTAACAGCAGCACAGAAAATTGGCATTACCCCTGTTTCCAGAAAACCCAGTGTCTGGTTACCATATTAGGTAGCTCTGTTAATACATATAAGAACACACAAGTCACGAGTACTTCTTGGTGAACTCACAACATGAACACACATGTAAACAACACTTAGATCAAGTCAGAGGAGATGTACCTACATCCTGAAAGCTTCTTGTGCCTCTCTTCCAGGTAGGAGCTCCTCCTCCACCCCTACACTCACTCCCACCAATTCTAATTACAGCAGATAAGTTTTGCCGTTTTTTGACCTTTTGTAAGTGGAGTCATACAGCATGTTCTCTTCTGAATCTGGGTTTGGTTTGGTTTTTCAGTACTGGGTATCAAACCTATGGCTTTACACATGCTAGGCAAGTGCTGTACCACTGAGCTATACCCCCAGCCCTATTTTCTTTTTTTAATTTATATGAGAAATTCATCCATATTGTTATAGTTATAATTTATTCTCATTGTTATAGAGTATTTCTTTGGAATAACACAATTTATTCTTTCATGTTGGTTTTCCATTCAGATAGTCTTCAGTTTGGGAGGCATTACAACAGAGCTTTTATGAACCCTCGTATACATGTCTTCACATGCTTGTATTATGTAGCTAATATTGGAAATGCTGATCATAGGGTATGGATATTTCAACTTTAGCAAGATACTCTAAAGATTTTTCCAAAGTGATTATGCTAATTTACATTCCCCCCAACATGTGACAGATTTTTTTTTTGTCTCTAATTCTTTTCACCATTTTAGCTGTTCTGGAGAGTGTGTAGTCGGAACACACTGTGATTTTAATATATATTTCCCTGATGACCACTGAAGTTGAGCACCCTTTTTTGCATTATTTGGCTATCTTCTTGAGAAATGCTTGCTTGTCTTTTTTTTTTTTTTCCCAGTAGAACTAGAACATCTGCGTATTCCCCCACTTTACATTGTTTGGGGCGGGGTGGGCGCTTACTCTATGGCAACAGATACACAGTAGAAGGAAAACGAGGTAGATACAAAGAAGTCTCTCACCATGGTGTCTGTGACTTGAGGAGAGTTACCTCTCAACTCAAACCCACTTATCCCTTAACCCAACTATGAAGATAAACTTACTTCAGCCCCAACTTAGACTGCCTCAATGCTGCCTTTCTATTCTGTTACATACATATATCCTGTATCTTTTTCAGCAACTGATTTTTGTTCCTGCAAAATTGTGCATATTCCTGCCTCAGCCTCCCAAGTTGCTGGGCCAGGTGTGCGCCACTGCGCCTAGCTAGACGCTTTCTGTCATTCATCAGGACAATTTTGTGTCTTACAAGGTAGTGCTCTTTGAGGTCACCAACACCACGTAACATAGCTCAGAACAAATTGCATGATGTCACACCACCTGAATTAAGGAGTACACCTTCTTGGGGTAGGACAATTCAGGAGACCTGGGTTAGCAGAAGGAAATGTTGTCCCATCTGCCATTGTCACATGGAGAGGCAAACCTTGGGTCTGTGTCACAGGGAGGGATCTCATCCACCCATAAGTCTCCATTCTTTTCTTGAGCTTGGATGTTGTTCCTCTTGCTGGTTTGTCTATGAGTGTACTCTCAGGGTCAGTGTGGGATAGTTCTGCTCATGGTACTCTATATAACATCAGCTGCAGGATTTCTTGAAGAGAACCTCAGCTCTAAAGCTATAAGCTTAACATGGGACAGAATTTTTCTCACCTTTACCAGTTCTTGAAATCTGAAATTCTAGGACAAGTGTTTAGACCAGTAGAGATTTAAAGAATAAATGTTCTAGTGATTACAACTCCCTTTCAGCATTTGTAATTTGCCAAAAGCAAATATACATTAGGTACTGAAAATTAAATATTTTAAGTGTTTTTAAAGAGTAGATTTTAGTAAAATATGAGATTTTATAGGTTATGTTATTTACTATATTTACTCTTAGTTTTTGATCATATAACTAAATAATTATAGTTTCATTAATAGTAGAACTGTAAAATAAATGTTGGCAAATACATGATTTATATTAATTATGATTGTCTAAGTCTTAAGAGGTTTGGTTTGACTATATTAAAAGTTAATGATTAAAATTTGCAGAAGATACTATGCAAATTTAGTTGGCATTGTGGTGCACATCTGTGATCCCAGCTACTTGGGAGGCTAGAGGATTGCAAATGTGAGGACATCCTTGGCAACTTAGTAAGATCCTGTTTCAAAATTTAAAAAAATTTTTAAAAAGGGCTGGGTATGTAGCTCAGTGTTCAATCCCTAGTACTTAGGGGAAGAAAAAGAGGAAACTATACAGATCTACTTAATAAATAACATTTGAATTTTTTCTTCTGGAAATATTAGCAAGAAGGCTCGCTTTGTGCTCAACATTGCTTGAATAATCTATTGCAAGGAGAATATTTTAGCCCTGTGGAATTATCCTCCATCGCACATCAGCTGGATGAAGAAGAAAGGATGAGAATGGCAGAAGGAGGAGTTACTAGTGAAGACTATCGCACATTTTTACAGGTACTGATTTTAAATTCACTTAAGTCACATTTTTAAAAAACGTGGGTACTGTTGAGAAGAGGATGAGCCTTTCTTCCTGTAGGAATCTGACTTGCTAATTATAACTCTGCCGTTGATTTTGTAAATGGTAATGCACATGTTATTTTAAATTATGCACACTAATGATAATTTTTTTTCTCCCCACCTCCCCCTTCAACTATCCATAAAAATGAACAGCAGCCTTCTGGAAATATGGATGACAGTGGCTTTTTTTCTATTCAGGTAAGTAGTTGCGAGCATGTACAAAGTGCTATCTGCTTCCCATGCACATTAAACTCAGTTAATGGTTTAGGGAGGATCTTTTCACCACTTTTTATAATCACTGTAATGATAGGACTTCAGAAATCCCTCCAGTAGATTGTCCACAGAGTACTAGATTTTTATATAGATAAGTTTGAACACAAAGATTATATAATAATCACTTTTTTTCTTTCCACATTTTTTTGTTGGCACATTATTGTTGTATATATTGATGGAATTTGTTGTTACATATTCAAAGATGCAAACAATATAACAATATAATTTGGCCAGTATTGCTCCCTAATGCTTTCCCCTCCCTCCCAACCTCCCACCCTTTTGTCTCTTTCCTCTACTCATCTCCCTTTGATTTTTAGGAGATCACCCCACCTTTCTTTTCCTTTTTCCTCTCTAGCTTCCACACATGAAAGAAAGCATTCAACCCTTGACCTTCATAATAATCGCTTTTTAAAAAAATATTTACTTTTTAGTTGTAGTTGGACACACACTTTTATTTTACTTATTTATTTATTTTTCTTAATGTGGTGCTGAAGGTTGAACCCAGGGCCTCTCACGTGCTAGGCAAGCTCCACCTCTGAGCCACAACCCCAGCCCATAATCACTTTAAAAAAAAAATATTTTTGGTTGTAGATGAATACAGTACCATTATTTATCTTTAAAATTTTTCTTTAGTTGTCAGTGGACTTTATTTATATGCAGTGTTGAGAATCCAACCCAGTGCGTCACACTTGCTAGCAAGCGCTCTATCACCGAGCCACAACCCAAGACCAATATAATAGTCACATTTTGAGAAAGATTATTTACTTTGTATCTGGGTGATAATAACCTTATATCTAATAAGTCTTTTTTTTCCTTCTCTTTTTGTGGTGCTGGGGATTGAACCCAGGACCTTGTGCATTCAAGGCAAGCACTCTACCAACTAAGCTATATCCCTAGCCCCATAAGTCACAATCTTTTAAATTTATTATCTCTTGGGTGAATTTGAGAAAATCTAATAACTTCTTACCTCCCCCACCCACTTTTTTTTTTTTTTTTTTTTTTTTGGTACTAGGGATTGAACTCAGGGGCACTCGACCACTGAGCCACATCCACAGCCCTATTTTGTATTTTATTTAGAGACAGGGTCTCACTGAGCTGCTTAGCACCCGCTTTGAACACCTGCGATCCTCCTGCCTCAGCCTCTCAAGCCACTGAGATTATAGCATGTGCTACTGCGCCTGGCTTCTTCTTATCTTTCCTTTATTTTATTTAAAAAATATTTTTTAGTTATACATGGACACAGTATCTTTATTTTGTTTATTTGCTTTTATGTGGTGCTGAGGATCTAATCCAGTGCCTCACAGGTGGGAGGCAAGTGCTCTACCGCTGAGCCACACCCCCATCTGCCTTATCTTCCCTTTAAATTAGCCTTATAGCTTTATGGTCTGTAGCTTTTGATCTATTTTTTTTTTTTTTATTGCTCCATTTATTTACTTACTCACATGCTAAGTGCAGATTCTATCACCAAGCTACATTTTCAGTCCTGTGGTTGTTATGCACATTTGAGATTCTTTTGTCCGTGGATGTGTCCTGTTTCTGTAGTATGAGGCTCTCCTCTGAGGAACCTACTTCTGCAAGTATCTTGGTTTCCATTCCCCTGTGCTACTCTCTTTCGACTTCTCATTCAGCAGCCTTTCCATGCAGTGTTTCTTCGTTTCGCTGTTAATGGTGAGGGCCACTCAGCTGGGCTGGGAACAGAGTAAGAGTGGCCCAGCACTGGCATTTCCTGTGCAGCAGCACTGCTTTCTTCACTGTTGACCTGCCCACTGCGTTGCACTCACTGCTTGCTTGCGCTGCTACCGGGATGACTTGATTCTTTATTGGCCACCTTGGAGGCCAGAGAGTGAATTTTTATAGATTTCCCTGTTTCTCAAACAGCTGGAAATAATCAATTTGTCTTTTGTTCTACAAATTACAAACTCATGACCACAGGAAGAAACTCACAGTCTAAATTCCCAAGAAGAACTTATTTTAGTAGATGTGTGATTACTGACATTGCAGGTGGTGAGTTGGATGTAACTTTTCAAACGCAGTGCCCACAGCAGCCAGATTATCAGATCTATATCATGAACTAGTTTCAAGAACAGCATCAACATGACGGAATACACATCTGGATTTTTGAATATCTCAGGAACCTGGTTATAAAAAGCACTTTTTAAAAATACATATGTGTGCCAGGTGCAGTAGTGCACACCTGTAATCCCAGTGGCTTGGGAGGCTGAGGCAGGAGGATTGCCAGTTCAAAGCCAGCCTCAGTAAAAAACGAGGTGCTAAGCAACTCAGTGAGACCCTGTCTCTAAATAAAATACAAAAAAGGGCTGGGGATGTGGCTCAATGGTCAAATGCCCTGTCCCTTCTCCCCCACCCCCCGCAAAAAAAACAAAAAAAAACACACACACAAAATATATGTGTGTGTGTGTGTGTGTGTGTGTTTTGTGGATATAGTAGTATCTCTATGCAGATGCACTTTTTTTTAAACCGTAGCCTTTTAGAGAAATGTACATATGAAGTGGAATTACTTACATAAGTAACATGACTATGCTACTTAAATTTGAAATTGAATGGTTTAGCTCGTGAAAAGTTGCTATTATTTTTTTTAAACAGGTTATAAGCAATGCCTTGAAAGTTTGGGGTTTAGAACTAATCCTGTTCAACAGTCCAGAGTATCAGAGGCTCAGGATTGATCCTATGTAAGATTACCTTCTTTTTTTTTTTTGGCTTTTTCTGAATCTCTTTTCCTAAATTTTATATTTAAATTTATAATTTGTTAATGAAGAAAAATATATTTTGAATGTTTTGGTTATCCCTGTTTCATTCCCTTAGACTTCCCCTATTTTATCTTTTGATGTCCATGAGTATCTGCCTTTTTAAGTTTCCTGTACTCTAGTCTCCTTACTGGCACTCACCTGACCCAAGTGGTGCAGAAGGCTATACTTTAGCACCACATCATTAAGCTGTTCATTCAGTTGTGTGACTTTTTTAACAAATTAATGATACTTAACTGTAAACATCTTAAGTTTCCCAAATTTTTATGAATATGAACTCTTACTATTTCAATTTAATATGTATTTTTTTCTTTTCTAGAAATGAAAAATCATTTATATGCAATTATAAAGAACACTGGTTTACAGTTAGAAAATTAGGAAAACAGGTAATATTTCTGCTTTTTTTCCTGCCTTTCTTTTCATTCTGCACTCTATTTGAAACTAAAATGTAAGGGTCAGTACCTTTAAAATGAAACTGACCATAAATGTAGATGAGGCATGGGTTTGGTATGTTTTTTTTTTTTTTTTTTTTTTGGCAGTGCTGGGGATTGAACCCAGGACCTTGTGCATTCAAGGCAAGCACTCTACCAGCTAAGCTATATCCCCAGCCCCATAAGTCACAATCTTTTAAATTTATTATCTCTTGGGCAGTATCTCCAGGGCCTTGTGCCTGTTGGCAAGTGCTCTGCCACTTAGCTTTATCCTCAGCCTCCATTCAGTGGTTCCAATTTTGATGGATGGATATTTGCTATTTTAAGAGATAATTCGATTTTCTTTTATAGGTTTCTTTGTGACAACCATATACAATTTAACTATCATGATAAAAATTTTATATTTAAGACAGTGTAGATATTGTTACTTTTCAGTAGGGTCTTTTGTGATGAATGTGTTCTGCCCAGTAGACTTTCACATTTAGAAATTTGTATTTAGCCTAGTACTGACCCAAAGCCTGATATCATGTCAACCAGGAATAAAAGTATGCAAACAAGTTTTCTTTCATGTATCAAGATTATTCGGGCTGGGATTGTGGCTCAGCAGTAGAGGACTACTTAGCATGTGCAAGGCCCTGGGTTCTATTCTCAGCACCACATAAAAATAAGTAAATTAAATAAAGGTATCATGTCCAACTACAACTAAAAAATAAATATTAAAAAAAAAAAAAGATGGGCTGGGGACGTGGCTCACGCGGTAACGCACTCGCCTGGCATGTGCGGGGCGCTGGGTTCTATCCTCAGCACCACATAAAAATAAAATAAAGATGTTGTGTCCACCGAAAACTAAAAAATAAATATTAAAAAAATTCTCTTTCTCTTCTCTCTCTCTCTATCTTAAAAAAAAAAAGATTATTCAAAGAATTCTAAAATGCCCTCTAATACACACATCTTCATTAAGTCACTTCTTAAAAAAAAAATTGTGTTTTGAACAAGCTATTTGAAGAAACAGAATCATTTAAAGTTCTTTTTATTAGAATTTTGAACTTTTTTTTAATATATGTATTTTTAGATGTTGATGGACCTTTGTTTTATTCATTTATTTATTATGTGGTGCTGAGAATCGAACCCAGTGCCTCACACATGCTAGGCAAGTGCTCTACCACTGAGCCACAGCCCTAGCTCAGAATTTTGAATCTTTAATAGAGGGTTATTGAAAACCAAATTGTATGATTAAAAAAAAGAATGAACTCTTAATATATGCAACAACATGGATGAATTTCAGAATACCATGCTGAAAGAAGCCAGACACAAAGCACTGTTTTCTGTGTGGCTCCTTTTATAAGAAAGTCCAGAAAAATGGGAAGTAAGCTATAGTGACAGAAAGTATATTAACCAGTGATGGTGTGGGGATGAGGAAGGAGGGAAGCAGGAAGAGGCAAGGGCCGCAGTAGGGTGCTAGAAACCCGCCGTGGTGGGTGCTTTCACTCTCTTGCTTGTCTGGATGGCTTCATGGGCATAAACATGTTAAAATTGTAGATTTTAAGTATGTGCAATTTATTGCTCATCAGTCATACCTCAATAAAGCTGTTTAAAAGAATAAAATGTGTGAAAAACAAAACAGAGAAGTGAAGAAAGAGTGCATTGAGTTAAATCAATAAAAGATAATTCAGAAAAAATATCCTTCTGTCATCTTTGAAGTCAGCCACCTTCAAGCAGCTTTACCTTACCTGGAGCCACAGGTCAGTGGCAGAGTGAATGAAGGCAAGGCTCTGGATTCAATCCCCTGCACCCCCCTAAAAAAATTCTTTCTTTTTTTTTTCAAATTTTTGTAGTTGTAGATGAACAGAATGCTGAGGATCGAACTCAGTGCCTTACACATGCGAGGCAAGTGCCCTGCCACTGAGCTACAGCCCCAGCCCAAAAAATTGTTTCTTAAAGTCCTCCCTGAGGAGCTGAGAGGAAGTAGATATGTAGAGACTCAGAGTATATAGGTCACCCAGAGGGAATTCACTCTGGGAGAGACCCGAGCAGGAGGTTGCCAAGATGATTTAACCTCTGGATTTTATTTATAACTTCAGGAGTTTTTTGATTTTTTTTTTCCTTGCAGTACTGGGGATTGAACTGAGGTCCTCATGTATGCTAGGCAAGCACTTTACTGCTGAACTACAATCCCAGTCCCTATCTTCAGAAAATTATGTCAAGAGTTAGATATTTCACTTTTTTTCTGTTTAATCACTAGGTTTTTTCTTTTCTTTTTTCTTTGTGGTGCTGGGGATTGACTCTAGGGCCTTGTGCATGTGAGGAAAGCACTGTACCAACTGAGCTATATATCCCCAGCCTGCAGAGAAACTTCCATGTTATTATTTTGAGATTTTTTTTTTTAAATTTTAGTTCTTCAAAATTGAATTTTCACATTTTGAACTAATTTACCTTTGACCAATACAGATGTCAAATTTTGGTTTGTTATCTTTAGTTCTGATTCATATATTTTTTTAAAATTTAGATTTTTTTTTTTCATTATGGATTCAATCTGTTTGAGGTACCTGTATAACAAAAGAGAAGACTGGAAAAAAGTATTATCAGGAATGTCAAAATCTAGGAAAAGTATTTAATTGTTCATGATGTTGACAACAACTTTGAAACTTTTTATATGCTGTAGGTTAAAGTTGTACTCTTAAGAGGAGTTACTAAATCCTGTTAATTACATGTGATGGTGGTTTGGTAAACATATTGAAGGGAATTAGTGATTATAAGTGCTCTTTGTGGAATGTCTCATCTTTCTTACAATTGGATTCTTTTCACCAAAATTATCAGTAGTGGGAAAACTTTGTGTAGTTGCATATTTCCAGTATGATATGATTAGTTATTGATGCTTTAAAAAAAGATGTAGCCATAGTTGTCAGCAAAGACATTATAAAGTACCATTAGTTTCTGTGTGGAGGGGATTTAAATTTATGGCTTGAAGGTTTTTTTTTTTTTTTTTTTGGTGTTTTTTTCCTGTACTGGGGATTGAATGAGGTGCATTCTACCACTAAGCTACATCCCCAGCACATTTTAAGACAGGGTCTTGCTAAGTTGCTGAGGCTTGCCTAACTTGCAATCCTGCCTCAGCCTCCTGAGTAGCTTTGATTACAGGTATGTAGCCATGCCTCACTGAAGCTTCTGCTTTAAAAAAGCATTTAATAGTGATAACTCTATGCCATTTTTTTATCATATTGTTTTAAAAAGTCTCAAAAAAACCCCCTCAATTTGGCATATTTTCATTATTTTAGGCAAGCTTACTAGTGGGTTATATCTATTAACATGTGAAACTTCTTTATTTCATATAATATATACTAAAATGTTGACTTTTTTTTTTTTCCCCAGTGGTTTAACTTGAATTCTCTTTTGACGGGTCCAGAATTAATATCAGATACATACCTTGCACTTTTCTTGGCTCAATTACAACAGGAAGGTAAATAAAGTCTTAAAACTTTGTAATGTTGTCTTTCAAAGTAGCTAAATAGAACTGGGTTCTCAGATGTGAGTGTAACAAAGTTTTTCCATCAGAGTCAGTAAAAATCTTTACATTTTGGGTGGTGAACTTTAGGCTGGGATCTGGATGATACTGTTCAGTGTGATTTCTCTCTGACGCCTGGGGCTTCTTTACAGCCCTTCTAAGTAATAGTTTTTTCTTTCATGTCCCACATACCACAGGCCCAAGGGGAGGTATGGATATTCTTCTTGTTTGTCCATGTCCCTTCTAAGCCAGTGTTCCTCCCTGTTAAGTCGAGCTCCTTTGAAATATATGCCTCTAGACTAGACTATATGTGTCCTTTTGGAGTCATCCCTGAGCCTCCTCTGTTTTCACTGGAGATTTAAGGATTCATGTATATCCCCCAACCTTCAATTTCTTATATCATTCTTAGTGATTTTTTATATCAGTAATCAATCTGACCACCTTCTTTCTTAAAAGATCGTTGTCTTCACTTTCTCTTTGCCATTATTGATAACCATAACCATTGTCAAGTCCCAGTTATAAGCATCCTGTTCTTTGACTACCACCTCCTGTCTTTAGGCCATGTTTTCTCTGTTTTTCGCATTCTAACAATTCTTTAAATTCTACCATGGGACCCAGACATCCCCTTAAACTATTACTTTCTTTTTTACCCTGCTTATTTTCTATGATCCATCAATATTTTTTACTTCTCTTCATTCTTCAATTTCTTTCCCTTTCTCCCTCCATTATAATTTTAGTGACTAAAATCTGAACTCTACTTATAAATCCTATTTTGGCCTTGGCCATTCCTGTACCAGAGCAACAGAACATGGTTAAAAAAATAACATAAAGTATGTTGATTGGTCTTGTGATTATTAATGTTCCCTTGATGTGCTGCTTGAACTGCCTGTTGTATTTCCTTAGTAAATCCATGTACCATTCTCCAAGATGATTATGTCATAGCTTATCTCTTTAAACCTTTGGCCACTTCCAGCTTCCTTCCTTTCACCTTGCTTATGGAAGAACATGGAAGCAATTAAAATTGAACTTTATTGTCCACCAGCAAATCTGCCAGCTTGTTTATATCTGCTTGTGTTTGAGCCTCTTAAAATAGATGAGCTGTCTCCTGCATCCAAACTAGACCAACCCCTCCATGTGATTGGATCCCAGCTCTTCCTACTTAAGATACCCCTGCTCTTATCTCTCCATTATCTTGGGTGATTATTTCTTTCCCCTTTTTCTAAATTGTTTTATTTTATTCCTATCAGTGGAGAAATAGCTCTTTATCTCCATTGATTAAAAAGGAAAAGCATCTCTTAATTCCACAGAACTCTGGCTGCTTCCCATTTTAAATTTTCTTCTTGAACTCATCCCTAGTGTGTTGTCTCCTATTCTTGAACTCATTCTAGACTTGCTGCCAAAACCAGTATGTCATTGAAAAACTTTTCTCAGTCTCACCAGTGACCTCCATTGCCACTGCTGGTGTTCAATTCTCAGTCTTCTTTTTATTAGAGGGTGTAGTTGATTATACCTTTTTATACACACAACAAAACAAACATTTTTAAAAATCAGACAAAATATTAAAAAAATGACACCTGCCTCATGTACCCTTCACACAGCTTTAACAGTTATTATAGCCTTTTATTTGTACTTTGTCTGCTTCTTTCTACTGTTTATTTTGGAGCAAATACTGGGTATTTTATTATTTTTCTATGAAGTATTTTCTTAATAAGTTTTTTAAAAATGAAAACTAAAAAAATAGCCAAAATAACTGTATTCACATCTTAAAAAATTTAATCACAGTGCTTTTAAAAACATCAAATACCCTGTGAGTATTCAAATCTCTAGTCTCTCTGGTTGTCTTATGTGTTTACAGTTCAGTCTGGTTTGAAACAGAATTGTACTGGGTTGGTATATTTCCTGAATCTAACTGTAGGATTCCTCTCCTCTTCATTTTTTCCTGTATTAGTTTATTTATTTTACGGGGTAGAGGATGAGTCATTTGTCCTGCTTCTCAAGTTCTGGATTTTGCTCATTGAACCTCTCTTTTTCGTGTCTCTGGATATTCTATTGCTGGTCTTCGGATCAGTAGACTTGATCCAATTCAGGTTGATTTTGGGGGGAGATAGAAAGATTTCACAGATGATGTGGCTCTTGATAGTTGTTCTTTTGTGATCTTCACCATTAGTGATTAATGCCTGGATCCGTTTTTCACTGAAGGTTGCAAAATGGTGATATTAGAATCTTGTCATTCCTTCATTTATTAGCTGGGATACTTCTATATCTCATTTATTTCATAAATAAAATACTTCCTCTCCTCATTTATTTCATAGTTTATATAGAAGAGGAAGAATAAATATTTTTTTCCCTCAATCTTTTGGATGTGTGTGTGTGTTTGTGTGTGTGTGTGTGATTGAACCCATGGCTTTGCACATAATAAGCATGTGCTCTGTTACTGACTGAACACCTCTGTCCTTTTGTCAGTTTTTAAAACAAATTGGTTTTGTGTGTCCTCCAAAGGTGACCAATTAATTTTTCATTTTTTAAAACTAAAGCACCATTATAAATTAATTAGTTAAAATGTAGTTCACATGTTTTAGTCCTTTGTAAATATTATTCATATTAACATTCAAATTGTACCATCATTGACCAGTGGGAACATTTTGGAGTTTACTCCCAAGTGTCTGACATGACCAATGTGGTCTTTTGAAGGTTCACTTTCTTGTTTAACAGGATGTTTCAGGTTTATCTGTGCATTTCCTGCCCTCATTTCTCCAAGGATACCTGCCTTTTATTAATGATAATTACAGATCACAATCTGAGCACGCGGGCATGCTTCTTATGACTAGGTTGGACATCTTGTTGTCATTTCGATTTGCATTTATGATTACAGTGTTTTTCCTTGTTTGGTTTTATATACTTGGGTATCTTGTCTTTTAGGCCTAAACCCTTGGTTCCTCGTCATGTCTTGCCTTCTTGAAACACCCTACTCCTGGCTTCCAGGCCACCATGCTCTGGTTTTCCTCAGGCTGCTTCTTTCAGATTCCTTTTATGGATCTTCTCATTTCCAATCTGTAACTGTTGAAGTGATCCAGGGTACAGTTCTTGGACAGCTTCTTAATTATGTGCTACTCCATGATTCTGTCAACTCTAAGATATGTATTCTAACAGTTCTCAAACTTTTTAACCTAGATACCTGCTCTGAACACCAAACTCCTAATTTTGACATTTTTACTTGGAAGTCCAGAAAGCAGTTCATTTTAATTCACAAAAAACTGATTTTTTTTTAACCTGTCTATACATGATGTCTCTCAAGTTTTCCATTTTAGTGAAAAATCATTCTTACACTCTGTTTCCTATATATTAATAAAGCCGCTGGAGTGTTATTTTAAAAAATATAATCCATATTATATCCCACACTCACTCTTTACCATTCAGTGGCTTCCCAACACACTTAGAATAAAATCTAAAATTTTGGATAAAACCCAAGAACTCTACTACTTTACCTGAATGAGGCAGAGTGTCCACTTTTAATGACATGCTCCATGGAATACCAAGGTGAGCTGGCATATTTATTCTAGGATCTAGAAACAATTTCAGTTTTACTGGCAGAAAATGTGTTAAGCCATGTGAACTGTGAATATACTTGTTCTTGTAAAGTTTGAGTTTTACATGAATGATTCTTTTGATCTTTGATTCATTTTTTTTTTAATTTTTATTTTTTTATTAGTTGTTCAAGATAATACAATGATCTTGAATATCATACATTTGATTCAAATAGGGTATGAATTCTCATTTTTCCACTTGTATAGATTGCAGGATCACATTGGTTATACATCCATGTGTATACATACAGCAATCCTAGTGTCAGTTGTATTCTGCTGCCCTCCCTATCCCCCCTCCCCTCCCCTCCCTATTGTCTACCCATACTACTGTGACACTTATCTCTCTCTTTCTCTTTTTTTTTTTCCCTTCCCTTCTCCCTCACACCATCGTATATGTATTTTGTGAACCCATGAGGGTCTCCTTCCGTCTTTACGTGCATTTCCCCTTCTCCTTCCCTTTCCCTCCTCCTCTTTTCCTTATTTCTTGGTAATCTTATTCTCATACTCTTCCTTCCTACTCTGTTTTGAGTCACCTCCCTTATATTAGCAAAGATATTCGGCATTTGTTTTTTAGGGATTGGCTAACTTCGCTTAGCATAATTTGCTCTAGTGCCATCCATTTCCCTGCAAATGTTATGATTTTGTTATTTTTTACTGCTTAGTAATATTCCATTGTGTATAAATGCCACATTTTTTTTTAATCTATTCATCTCTAGAAGGGCATCTGGGTTGGTTCCACAGTCTAGCCATTGTGAATTGTGCTGCTATGAACATTGATGTAGCTGTGTCCCTGTAGTATGCTCTTTTTAGGTCTTTTGGGTATAGTCCGAGAAGGAGAGTAGCTGGGTCAAATGGTGGTTCCATTCCTAGCTTTCCAAGGAATCTCCATACTGCTCTCCAAATTGGCTGCACCAGTTTACAGTCCCATCAGCAATGTAGGAGTGTACCCTTTTCTCCACATCCTCGCCGCACTTGTTATTGTTTGACTTCATAATGGCTGCCTTTCTTACTGGAGTGAGATGGTATCTTAGAGTGGTTTTAATTTGCATTTTTCTGATAGCTAGAGATGGTGAGCATTTTTTGTGTACTTGTTGATTGCTTGTATATCTTCCTCTGTGAAGTGTCTGTTTAGATCTTTGGCCCATTTGTTGATTGGGTTATTTGTTTTTTTGTTGTTTAACTTTTTGAGTTCTTTGTATACTCTGGAGATTAGCGCTCTATCTGAAGTGTGAGGGGTAAAAATTTGTTCCCAGGATGTAGGGTCCCTATTTACCTCACTTATTATTTCTCTTGCTGAGAAAAACCTTTTTAGTTTGAATATGTCCCATTTGTTGATTTTTGATTTTAACTTTTGTGCTATAGGTGTCCTATTAAGGAATTTGGAGCCCAATCCCACGAGATGGAGATTAGGGCCAACTTTTTCTTCTATTAGATGCAGAGTCTCTGGTTTGATTCCTAGTTCTTTTATCCATTTTGAGTTAGCTTTTGTGCATGGTGAGAGAAAGAGATTCAATTTAATTTTGTTGCATATGGATTTCCAATTTTCCCAGCACCATTTGTTGAAGAGGCTATCCTTTCTCCAGATTCATTCTTAATATTCACAAAGGATATCCAATAATAATCAACAAAGTTTAAGAGAATTTATGGTAGAAAAACTTTAAATCAATTAGATTTAGGTCTAGCCTACCTGTATTCAGTTTCTATGTGGAACATCCAGCTGGAAAAGCCCTGGCCTCCTGCCTCATATTCATAAAAAATTATATTGGAGAGTGTAACTCCTTCCAAACAGGAGCTACATGTTTGTCATTTTGGCTAGATTTTATATTAACTTTCTACCTCCCATTTTCAGTTAGAAGGGATGTATTTGAGTGTGGGTTTTGGTGGCCAACAGCTGTTTGCACCCCTGACTCATTTTACCTACATTACCCGTTGTTATACACATTATCTTACTGTGTCTTCACATCGGTTTGGAGTAAGGTTCTGGTATGGTCTGATCAAGAATTGAAGTAATCAAGACAGATTGGTAAAATGATTGACCAACACCATGCAGGTGGGAGGTAGAAGATCTGGGATTGACCCTACATGGTCCATTTCTAAATCCTTCGCTCTTCCCCACTCCTTTACTGAACTGCTTCTCTGTTCCCATTTAGTGAGTAGTCTGTTGGGTCAAGTGCTATATTAGTAGGGCTTTAATAAACACTGTTCCCCTTGTTTCTCGTAGTCACTCTGGAAGATAACTATTTTAGTGTTATAGGTAGGGAAAATGAGGCTCAGAGACTTTAAGTAATTTGTCCTGGATGAATACATGTAAGAATCATCATTTGATCCCAGGTCTTTCTGCATCTTCAGCTTGGTTCCCTCATCCCCCCATAATATGCTGCCTCTCTGTTATCATTTTAAGTCAGTTCTGAATCTCTTTCTAGTTGTTTTAGTTTATTTTTGCCTTTTTTTAGGTTATTCTATATTTGTTGTTAAGGGTGATCTACCAGATTGTGAAGCTGACCAGCTTCTGCAGATGATAAGGGTCCAACAGATGCACCGACCAAAACTTATTGGAGAAGAATTAGCACAACTAAAAGAACAAAGGTAAAAATTAGCTTATAGTATAGAAGATATAATAGTATTTCATTACAAGAATTAAACTTCCATGCTTGCATTTAATGTGTGGTGTTTTACAGGGGCTCTTTTTTAGGGTTTTCATTTTACTTTTAAATTTTGATTGATGGATTGATTGTGCTGGGGATTGAACCAGGTTCCAAGCATGTGTCCTACCACTGAGCTACACCCTAGTCCTCATGTTTTCTTTATAAGAGACAGAGTCTCATTGTGTTGTCCAGGTTGGCCTCAAATTTGCCATCCTCCTGCCTCAACCTCCTGGGTAGCTGGGACTGTAGGTATGTGGCATTGCACCTGGCTAGGATTTAGTCTAGTTTTGTTTTGTTTTTGTGGTGCTGGGGATTGAACGCAGGGCCCTGTACATGCAAGGCAAGTGCTCTACCAACTGAGCTATATCTCAGTCCTATTTTAGCAAAGTTTATTGAATCAGTTTGAACGAATTCTTTGAATTACTTAAGTGTATTAACTTAGGTGCACATTACAATACCATCTTCATATTACTAGAGATTATCTGACAGAAAACTTATTTGTATTAAAATCTTCAGTTTGCAAATACCTTTGTATTATGTCTAAAATTAAAGACTAGGGCAGCAGTTATTATGATTGCTTTTGTTCTTCAGAGTCCTTAGAACAGACCTGGAACGGGTTTTAGAAGCAAATGATGGATCAGGAATGTTAGATGAAGATGAGGAGGATTTGCAGAGGGCTCTGGCACTAAGTCGCCAGGAAATTGACATGGAAGATGAAGAAGCAGATCTCCGCAGGGCTATTCAGCTCAGTATGCAAGGTATAAATATTGTAATGTGTACCTTATTTTTGAAGAATTGATTCAGATTATTCTTAGTTTTCCTGGAAATTAGTGTATTGTTACTATGAGTTCTTAAACAGTTACTGCAGCAGCTATGTACAGTCAGCTTTTCTTTTAGATTTCTTGTAACATATATCACTTTTACAACTTATATTAGAACTGTATTAGTTACATTTAGGAAATGTAATTATATTTTAATTTATTTTTTATTTGATTTGATTATTAAACTGTACTAAAACAACAGTAAATTTAGGGTAATCTTTGTAGGCGTCAGATGACCCTTATCCAAACCAGTTCCTTCATAAATGTATGCATTGGATGTGACAGAAGGACTGGACAGAGAATATAAATTGATTTGACAAAAATTTAACACTTTTATGCAACTTTAAGCTTAATTGTGCTTTTTAGTGGGCCCACTTTTTTAGTGATATAAATCCATCAACAAAGAAGAACAAAGATTATTCCCTCAGGAATGTAGGCATAGAAAAACGCTGACATAGCTCAAAGTGTCTAACTTAAGTGTGAAGTCGTTTATTTTTGTAGTTTTGTTTTAATTTCACTCATACAGATTGGTTTCTACTCTCTAATGAAATCACTCATCAACTGAATTCCTTAGTAGTCTAACTATACTTGCGATTCCATTTATACAAAAATTGTTTCTATCCTGAACGTCTCATGCCTCCCAGCATACCACTGAATACTCCATTTGGTATGCAGTACCAGTTTTTACTAGTCAAGCCCTGTTGGCTTAGCCTAGTAATCTGAGGTGTATTTATATAATTCATTTCTCTTACCAGTTTACAGGTTGATAAAATCTCTGTTGTAATACCAGATATTGTGGTAGAGGAGTATCGAGAATGGATTTGTCTTAGGATCATTTGCCTAATGATCTACACCTTCAAGACATGGGTTTGAGGAACACCATGTCTTGAAGGTGTGGGTTCATTTTTAATAAATTAAAGAGAGCATACACGTGTGATGTTAGTGACTTCTCATAACAGGTTGCTTTTTGGACTTTATTCTCAGAACTGCTGCATTGCACTTGGGTGTCAGCTTTGAATGTGATAGGCGTAAATTAGATTTGGTGTGCCTTAGTCCATGAGACTTTCACTGCCCTTCTGATATTTTCAAAATCTTAAAAGCTTGTTCAGATAAGAATAAACATCATCTCTTGAATTGTTGAATAAAACAATTGCTTTTTGCTCTTTTATTTTGTTTTTAGGTAGTTCCAGAAATATATCTCAAGATATTCCCCAGACATCAGGTACAAATCTTACTTCAGAAGAGCTGCGGAAAAGAAGAGAAGCCTACTTTGAAAAGTAAAGTAGTTGGTACAAATTAAAGTTGCATATTTAATATTTGCTTTGGCTATTTTGTCTGCTTGTAAATGTCTGGTTACCGCCTGAACTTTGTGTATATTTAAATGTACTTAAAAATTTTTACAGCAAATAAAATACAAAATGAATGTAGTTTTAGGGAAAAACTTTGCCACAATACAGGATAAATTTTAAGTGAAATAAAGTGAAAGAAACATAGTAAAACTTTGTTTATCAAAGGAAAATAGAATTAGGCAAGGTAAGAACAATGCCTGTTGATCCTGTGTGTACAGAATTCTTCACTAGTTAATAAGAAAAACAGCACTGGAGGCAGGGAGCGCACTTACAGATAGAGGTGGTGATTCATGGTCCTGCTCACTGCCACTTTAGATGGGCCTGCAGGCCTGTCAGCCTCAGAGACATGGAAGCAAACAGCAAATCTCAATCTTCAATGCCTAAAACCTTATTTTGTGCATAGCTTTATAAAGTGCTCGCAAAAGAAAATTTCACCCTATAAAAATATCTTCCTTCTCAATAATTATCATTTTCAATTCTTCCCTTTTTCCTTTTTTAAAGGAGAAATAAAATCTGTCTTAAGGACTAAAAGATCTCTAATAGATATTCAGATCCTCTGATCCGGGTCCAATCCAAAGACCAGTGACTGAATCTGGTCTATTATGTATTTCATCAATTCGAAAGTTCACATATACCTACTTTTCTACATCTCTGAAATGAGAAGCATCTTAAAATTATAATTGGCAGTATTTAGTGATAACTAAAATAATGGAGCATTTTGCATCTGATGGTATAATGAAGATAATATTTACTTTTTTTGTTTTCTGTTTTTTTAAGTCACAACTCAGAAGTATATGAAGGAAAGTTCTGATCAACTGACATCCTGTTAATGTGAGATATTTCTAGTCTTTATTCAGTGATGTAGTGCTTTTCACATTTTAATTATAAAATTAATTTTTAATTTTGATAAACTTCAGACTTATACATATATGGAGAAACTAGCATAATGAACTCATTTATTCAGATTTAACAAATATTAGCACATGACCAACCTCATTATTTTATGCTCCCAGCTCTCAGTTCTTTCCTACTCTTCTGTCTCCAGGCTTGGAGTATTTTGTCATCATATTATTTAATTTATATTATCTGGTTCATAAATTTAAAATGTCTCTAAAAAATATGTAGCTAAATGCTGTTGTCACAAAATAATCATCACATAATTAACAATAATTCTATACCATCAAATATCTAGTGTTAAAAATAACCTAAAATTACTTAAGTGGATGAAACTAATATTCTAGAAAATGTATTTTAAGAAATTCCAAAATTAAAAGAAAGTATATTCCCACCGTCTTTCAATAACCAATATCAGTATTTGGGCACATTGTTTTCTGTTCACATAAAGACATACATACTATATGTTAAAACCTTTTCCCATGACAGTAATATTCTTTATATACTAGAGTGCATGATGTTTCATAAAGTGAATGAGTATATCATAATTTATTTATAAACCTTTTGGTTTTTGCTATTAGGACTTTGGGTGTAGTGAACAATCCTTGTACTGACTCTGCTTCTTTCTCATCACATTCTCAGATGTCAGATACTGGATTAGTGTATGAGATCATTTTTAAGGTTAAGTCCTCAGTACAGATTTCTAAATAAAGTGTTTTTCAGAATAGTTCTCACATGATACTTCTACCATGTTTATTTCAGACCTTTTTTCTTTTGTCCAGAATCAGATGATCCAAATAGACATACTTTTTTTTTTTGGTACCAGAGATTGAATCCAGGACACTTAACCACTGAGCTACTTCCCCAGACCTTCTAATTAAAATAATAATAATAATAATTTTTTAAATGAAAGTTTATATATATTTTTTAGATGTTGATGAACCTTAACTTTATATGTGGTACTGAGAATTGAACCCAGTGCCTCAACACAGGCTAGGCAAGCGCTCTACCACTGAAATATGACCCCAGCGCCCAAGACCTGTTTATTTTCTATTTAGACACAGGGTCTTGTAGAGTTGCTCAGGGCCTTGCTAAGTTGCTGAGGTGGCTTTGAACTCATTTTCCTCCTGCCTCAGCCTCCCAAGCTGCTGGGATTACAGGCAAGCAACACCTCACCCAGTTCTTTGTAGACATACCTTATAGAAAAACTACAAAATTCACAGTACACCTAAGAAAACGAAAACATTTCAAGTATAAAAATAAACCCATCTTTTAATTACATTTCACCTTTTTTAGACTTTTTTTGGATTAAAAATGTGAAACTATCCATCAATTTTTCTTTTAATAGTAGTGAAGATAACTTAGTAATGGCTGAGTAATTATAACAAGCAAAATTCAAAAGTAATAACTAGGGTTTTTTTTGTTTTGTTTTGTTTTTAGTAAAACGGACATTTAGGTCAACCTTGCACCCTTTTTAAAACTTTCAGGTATTGGTGTGCCTCCTTCTAATTGGAGGATAGTACATTGTGGATTAAAGATGGTTGTCAGCTTTAGCCTTTGTCCTCTGCCTCCTGGTTTAACTTTGAAAATACTAGTGAGAACTTGAAATGTTAGAGAATATTTTCACATAGTCACATGTTGCTGAGTTTAAGAGTTGAACTTTTTGATGTTTGTTTTTAACATTGGCTAGCATTCAGAACTTTATAAAATGACTTTAAGAACTGAGAAACTAATATTTGCCTTTTACTAAAATTCCTGATTACTTATCCTGGATGGGTCCTTATCTCTCTAGCTCAGGGCACTTGTTCAAAGCTCATCAAGCTAACTGTTCTCTCTCAATCTCCCTAAACTGATACTGGTGCTAACTTGTTATTCATAAAGTTTTATAGGGTTCCCCACTTCCCGTTGAATATTTGAAGCTTCATAATTAGTATAGTAACCACAGTACTTGTGCATAAAGCATACTATAAGATTTCTTTCTTATGTAAAAAATACTATTAAAAATCTACCTACTACAAATTTGTAGTTTAAGATTTGCTAAATAATATTTTCATAGCCAGGACATTTTTTTCCAGCAGTAATTTCTAAATTACTTGTCGAAAAAATCCCAAGCAAAATTCTACTGTATCAGCCATGTCACTATAAAGTCTGCTTTAACTTGTGTGTTATGAGGATCAGATTAAGCAGTGGGTATAAACTGTTTTGTAAATTGTATTTTATTACTAATGTGTTCTCCAGGTATAGTTTGCAACAATGCAGATTTTTTTCTGTTGCCTAAAGGCAGTTTCCCTACAAGGAAGGACACAAATATTATTTCCATGGCCATAGTTTGCTGTGACATTTTTTCTTCCCCTCAGTTGACAGAGCCAGTTGAGGTTTTGTTTTGGAAAAAACAAATGAATTGGTTTTGGATTGAGGGCATGGACAAGAGAGGGTGCAGTAGACCTCCGCCCAGGGTGGAGCTGAGAACCAGGACTGAGCCTTAGGTGGGTGGGTCTCTTGTTCTCTGTATTCCTCTATATAGGTGTCTCCCCTGTAGGCTCCACCACAGCTACAGGAGAGGGAAGGCTGGGAAGGGACTTGGGGAGGCTGGGAAGAGACTTGGGGAGGCTGGGAAGAGACTTGAGAAGGCAGAGGACTTCGTCACTAGCTTCTCATTGTAGGTCTCAGTCTTTTCCCCACCCATGGCTTTGGTACAGCTGAAGGACCTGGACCCCCTACCAGAGGTGGAGCTGGACTGGAAGGCACTCAGCCCCATCATAAGGAGACTCACGTTCTGCATCCAGGACCAGTGTCACATTCATAAGCTCCTGTACTCACACAGTTGTCATGTCATGTCTTGCTTGGCCTGCCATAGGGTGGCCCCAGCTAGCTGGCTTGGCCTTGGCACCCTTACTGTCTGTCTCCCTACCTTGTCCAGCACCAGCAGGGGCAGCCTCCAGGTATATCCTCTGACATTTGAAGGCCTCACTTTCTGCCCAGAGGTGGCTGATGTTGAAGTTCATCTCAGAGATCAGCAGGCTGTTTCATTGTGGCCTTGTTCTGAGTGAGGACCTTGCGATGTTGCTGTCCATGTCCAGGGAGTGCTGGGGTTCACGGACAGCACCACAGAGATGCATGTTCTGATCTTCTTTTCATATGGCTGCCCGAGGAAGTTGATCTCATCAGTCAGCCCTTCCAGATGAGATTCCAGCTGTATCTTGTTCTTAGAATCCTCATCCCCATCCTTCCTGATGAGGACACCGGTTCTCCATCTCTGCATGCTTATTGATCTTATTCTCATATTTATTCTTGAAGTCTTCCACCTTCTCTGCACACCGCCGAGCTCTGCCTCCAGCTTCAACTTCTCCAGGCCCATTGACTCCAGCTGCTATTGAAGATTGTCAGTGTGGCTCTTAAACATGTTGTCCATGTCACTCTGAGCTATCTTCTGCTGCTGCAGGAGACTCCACATGGTCTCCAGCATTTTCTGCTCCAGGAACCATACATTATCAATGAAGGCAGCAAATTTGTTGGGAGTTTTGATCTATTTCTCTTCCTGAATATGCATGGCCTGGATGTTGGGATCCATCTCCAGTTTGAGGGGCCTCAGCACTCTGTGGTCCACTGTTATGTTTGTGATGCCCCCCCCATATCACCAACCTTGCCATGGCCACTGGCTAGACCTCTGCCAGCACACAGTCTGCCCCAGAAGCTGCTCCTGCTGCCCACCCAGGAGAAGCTGGAAGAGTTGATATGCATACCAGGTACACTCATGTATGTGTAAGTGGCTACTGGAGGCCCTGGAGCCAGAGGTGGACACTGAGTAGGACTTCTGGGTCACCCTGATGGACATGGTGGAGGCTGGAGTGAAGGCATGCAGGCTGAAGATGAGATTTGTGAATCTGAGCAGCTCTTTCAGGTAGTCTGCTGTGGCTTTTCTGAGCCATCACTTCAGTGGCATGGCATAATTTGTCTGACAGTGTTCAATTTAAGAAGCAGAAACTATTAGGGGTGTTTAAATAGAGTAGTATTCAATACAGAAATTAGTGGCGTAAAGTCTCAGGAAAAGTGGGAGGTGTGGTATTCTAGGCCTCCAGAATACCACAGTCCACCTCTGGCAATAGTTGAAACTCCTGCCCTGTTGGGACGATGGCAAATCAGGATTTTTGTCGGAGGAGGATACCAGGGTTTGAACTCAGGGGCACTTGACCACTGAGCTACATCCCTAGCCCTATTTTGTATTTTATTAGAGACAGGGTCTCACTGAGTTGCTTAGTACCTCGCTAAATTGCTGAGGCTGGCTTTGAACCCATGCTCCTCCTGCCTTGGCCTCCTGAGCTGCTGGGATTACAGGCATGCGCCACCGTGCCTGGCCCAATTCAGGATATTGAGTTTAAGAACACAGTGTTACAGCTGTGATCCCAGGGTCAGGAAGCCACTGCTGCACCTACATGGACCTGGGAGCATGAAGTCTGGCCTCCACAGTGACAGCCATGTAACAGGATTCAGGGACTGTATCTCCATAACTTTGCTTACCAGCAGAGAGCAGCCAAGGTAGCAAGAAGATGGCTGTACCTCATTTCTGCCTTTATAATCTCATACTAAGGCTTAATTTGTAACTAGGATCCTATCTGTAAAGGAGTGTTGGTCTTGCGGGTTTTAGCTTGGTGGCCTCTGTAATACTAAAGGCACATTAGAATGCACAGTGGGAATGGATGCTGAGTGCTGTTTGAACATGTTCCATCTCCGTGTCTTCGAGGCTGAAAGGTGTCAAGATTGTTTCAAAGTTGGCAGTTGTTTTTCTTTTCATTTTTCATCAATTAAAAGTAGAATAACCCCATAAATATGTGCAATTATTAATGTCATTAATATTATTTTAAAAATAAGAAGTAGGATAAAGGTTATCCCTCTGAAGTTGCTATCTGTCCTATCACTTTCTTGCATTCCGACATTCATTCTTGAGTAGAAGAGAGAAGGCATGGAAGCTATCTGATGTGCCAGAAATTCCCGAGAAGTCTGTCTGTCTCATGCCGTGGCTCAGAACCAGGACATGCTAGTGGAGCATGCTGCCCATGCATGCACCATTAGCCATGAACATCGGCAGGTCATACACCTGTGCTGCATCAGCATTCTATCTCAGGCCATCAGGAAGAAATCGAGTTACCATTGGTGGAATTTTCTTTGTTGCTCACATTTAAAATTCAAGATTGAGAGGCACACCGGGGGAAAAAATATGCCATTCTATTAATAGTGTTGCTGATAGTTTTAAAATTCTGGTTCCTTTTAAAATATGACTTCAGATTCTCAGCCATTTATAAAATATATGTTTTTTTAGTATTCTGTGTATGTGTTTTTACATATGAAATAATTTCAGACATACATAAAAGCAGAAATAGTACATAGGGCTCCTTATCCCTTCAGTTCCCTGCACCCAGATTTTCCAGCTGTTGACCTTTCTGAACCAATTGGGAAAAACTTGCATTATTTCTCATTGTGTCTCAGTGCTTCAGTGTGTATTTTCTAAATACAAAGATACACTCCTACTACCTGTTGCCTGTTTGTTGGAGATAGGATCTCACAGTGTTGCCCAGGCTGGTCTCAAACTTCTGGCCTCAAGGGATCCTCCTTCCTGCCTCAGCTTCCCAAATAGCTGGGACTGAGGTGTGTGCCACTCCACCCAGTTGCAGTCCTATAACTGGCATGTTTCCATGTTAAAAAATATGGATTTTATGACATTATTTTTACTTTAAAAAATACAGAAGAACTTATTGCAATACAGTCTACTACTGAAAGCTTGATAATATATGTTTTATAGTTGTTTTCGTGTCTTTAATTCATCAAGTATCTGAAAAATGTTTACTATGTGACAGACACAGTGTTAGGCACTAGAGAAATAGATAAACAGGACTAGGTTTGTATTCTTGCTAGCTTATTCCCCAAGAAAGAAACTAAAGAGAAGAATATCAGATGGTAGTAAGTTTATACTGAGGATTAAAATGAAGTAATGAAAATAAACAAAATGAAGTAATGAGGTAGAACACCAGGAGGCTACTTCAGGTGGGTGTTTAAAGGCTTCTATGGAGATGTTTAAACTCAGAAAGACCTGAAGGATAAGAAGGGAAAAGATCATGTTAATTTACATGCTATTGCAAGGTGATTTCTCAGAGTCCCTTTTCAGTGACTTCAAACAATATTAAGGATCTGTAAACCAATTCTCATTTGCATAAGAATAACTACCAGTGAATCTTGTATGATAAGTTATTTTGTGGTGGAAGTACCTATCTCTTAATTGGTCTGATAAATTCAAATTTTATATATAGGTTTCCTAGTATGAATACTTAATTATTAGACCAGTTATTCTTGCTGCATTTTGTGGTGTTCATGACAGTGATTATTTTTTGATTTATGGAACAGTTTTTCATGTGAAAGATTTTCTCCTGTTTATTTGGTTTTAGATCATTATTTAATACACATTCACTTTCAAATGTTTCAGGCAACAGCAGCAACAACAGCAGAAGCAGCAGCAGCAGCAGCAGCAGCAGCAGCAAGTAGATCCACCAGGACAGGTCTCACATCCATGTGAAAGGCCAACCACAAGTTCAGGAGCACGTGGGAGTGATCGAGGTTTGGATCTCTGATTAGTAATCATCACATTTGTTACTTGCATGCTCTATTTGATACACAAACTCCATGTGATTTTGTTAATAACTTCATTTATTTTTATGTGGTCCTGAGATTCAAACTCAGTGCCTCACACGTGCTAGGCAAGTCCTCTACCACTGAGCCACAACCCCAGCCCTCCATGTGATTTTTGCTTCATATGTTCTCTTTCCTCTTTAGTCCTGTTAAAACTGTTAATTGAATTTGTACTCTAACTTTCCCTGGTCTATAGAGTAGGCAGACTAGAGTACTCAAAGAATATTTGGTTTTAAAATTATAAACATAGTACGTGCAACTTCACAGTAATTAGTATATTCTCCAAAAACTCCTCAGAGATAGTAAATATTAATAGATGGAAAATAAATACAGTTTATTACCTAGAAAACTAAAAAACATTTGAGTGTAATCCAAAGATCAGCAGGCTTAATAGTTCTTAAACATTGGCCAAATGTTGGTAGTAGAAGTTGAATGAAAAGGAAGCTGTATCTGACAAAGGATTTGTAAGGGGAACCTGCAGAGAACTCTCAAAACTATACAGTAAGAAAATAACTCAAATAAATAGATGAAGAATTTGAAAACACATTTCACCAAATAACACAGTGATAAGCAGCACAATGAAAATGGTCAGTATCACTAGTCACTAGAGAAAGGCACAATAAAACCACAGTGACGGGCCAGGGTTTTGGCTCAGTGGTAGAGTGCTTGCCTAGCATGCATGAGGCACTGGGTTCGATCCCTGGCACCACATAAAAATAAACAAATGAAATAAAGGTATTGTGTCCATCTACAACTAAAATATATTTTTTAAAAACCCAAAAAACAGTGATGGGGCTGGGGTTGTGACTCAGTGGTAGAGGACTCACCTAGCACATGTCGGGCACTGGCTTTGATCCTCAGCACCACATAAAAATAAGTAAATAAAATAAAGGTATTGTGTCCATCTACAATTAAAAAGTATTAAAAAAAAATCACAGCCAGCTGTGTGGTGGTGCATGCGTATAATCTCAGTGGCTTGGCAGGCTGAGGCAGGAGGATCACGAGTTCAAAGCCAGCCTCAGCAAAAGTGAGGCACTAAGCAACTCAGTGAGACCCTGTCTCTAAATAAAATACAAAATCAGGCTGGGGATGTGGCTCAGTGGCCGAGTATGCCTGAGTTCAATCCCCAGTACCAAAAACAAAACAAAACAGAACAAAAAAACCCCACAATGAGATACTGTGACATACCTGTAAGAATGGTTTGTGGCTGGGGTTGTGGCTCAGTGGTAGAATGCTTGCCTAGCATGTGTGAGGCACTGGGTTTGATCCTTAGCACCATATAAAAATAAATAAAATAAAGGTTTGTGTCCATCTACAACTAAAAAAAAATTTAAAAAAAAAGAATGGAAAGAATGACTTTATGAACAAATAAAGCAAATTATATTAAATACTGGCAAGGCTCAGAGCAACTGGGACTATTAGTGGGAATGTAAGATGTTTTCCATGCTTTGGAAAACAGTGTGGCATTTTTTATATACTTATATGGTATACTTAACCATGTGACCCAGGAGTCTTAACACCTCGCTATGTAATCAAAAGAGAGAAAACTTACACAAAACTTACAAGTGGTTGTATATAGCAGCTGGATTCATTGTGGCCCTAAATTGGAAGCTGCCTACAGGTGGCCTTCATGTGGAGAATGGGTGCTCACACAGATGTATCCAAACAACTGAAGACTAAAAGGAATGAACTTGTGCTTTTTCTCATTCCTCTTGCTGTGTGAAGTGAAGAACCTGGATACTTGTGTAAAACAAACAAGAACCTCAAAAGCAGAGAAGAGACAGTTGGTTAGGGACCTCAGGATCAGAGAGTAACATGGTCATGAATGGTCTGGATTTTCTGTTTTGCCTCAGATGTTCTGAACTTGGTGCAGAGAAGCCATAGGCACAGACCAAGAGAAAAGCCCCCCAGAAGCTGCTATTTATAGCCAAAAGTGGCTGCTAACCAGACAGAACAATAGAAATTACCTCTTCAGACGGGCGTGGTGGTGCACACCTGTAATGCCAGTGATTTGGGAGGCTGAAGCAGGATGATCAGAAGTTCAAAGCCAGCCTCAGCAAGCCCTAAACTGTCTCAAAATTTTAAGAAAAGGGCTGGGTATGTGGCTCAGCGTTTAAGTGCTCCTAGGTTCAATTCCCAGTAGCAGAAAAGAAGAGAAGAGATTACTTATTCTGAGCAACACAGAGAAAACAGACTGGAAAAAATGGACAGAGCATTAGAGATCTGTAGCACACTAACAAAAGACCTAACATTTGTATCATGGGAGAGAAAGAGGGTGAAGATGAAAAAGTTTCTATAGAAATGATGGTTGAAAATTTCCAAAATTTGACAAAGACAGAACACTAGAAATTGAAGAAGCTGAATGAACTTTACATAAGATAAACCCCCAAATTTATACCACGACGTGTCATGGAAATCATGGAGGCCAGAAAGAAGTAGACAACATTCTTCCAAGTACTGAAAGAAAAACTATACACAAATTCTATAGCCAGTGAAATATCCTTCAGGAATAAAGGGGAAGTGAAGATATTTTTGCCTCCAGTAGACCTGTCAAGTTCAGAAAATAAGTAATAAAGAAATATCAGGAAGGAAAAATAGAGAATGGCAGACACAATAGATTTTCTCCTCCTCTTGTATTTTCTAAATTATGTTTAATGATTGAATCAAGAATTATAATAATTGATTTGGTTTTCAGTGATATAAAGAAAATATTTGGGGGCTGGGGTTATGGCTCAGAGGTAGAGCGCTCGCCTTGCACGTGAGAGACCCTGTTCGATCCTCAACACCACATAAAAATAAATAAACAAAATAAAGATATTGTGTCCATATATAACTAAAAAAATAAATTAAAAAAAAAAGAAAATATTTGAAGGCAATTATATGTTACAAATGAGGGAGGGTCAAGGGATAGAAAGAGAAAGGGAGCTTTCTACATTTACTTTTAACTGGCCCAGACAACTTTGGAATATAATTTGACCATTTTTTAAAACACTGAATATACACTGACCATATGACCCAGCATTTACATTCCTGGGCATTAATTCAGAAATGAAAATTTATGTCCAAAAACCTGCACACAAATGTTCATTGCAACTTTGTAATAATAAAAACTGGAAATAACCAAGATGTCCTACATGGGTGAATGGCTAAGCATAGTGTATCTATACCATGGAGTGTAATCCCAGAGTCAAAAAGAAACCAACTGCAGGGACTTAAAGGGATCTCTCAGGAGCATTGTGCTGAGTGGGGAAAAAAAAAAAAAAAATCTACAAAGGTCTCCAACTGTATGATTCCATTTGCACAACATTCCAAAAAGCACAAATATATGGACATAGAGAACGAATTAGAGGTTGCCAACAGTTAGGGAGAGGGTAGAAAAGGGATAAGGGTGACTATAAAGCATTGGCAGGAAGGAAATCTTTGTGGTACTGGAGTGGTTCCATGTCTTTTGGTCATTTGGTTTTGCAGTACTGGGGATCAAACTCAGGGCCTCATGCGTGCTAGGCAAGTATGCTCTTCCATGGGCTACCCTGGGCCCCCCAAGTCTGTTTTCCTGATTATGGTGGTGATGGTTACATGCATTCATATGTGTAATGTAATGTCATGTAGAACTACACACAGTGCACTAATGTCAATATCTGGATTGGGATTTTTTTTTTTTTTTTTTTTTTGGTACTGGAATTGAACCAAGGGGATGTGAGCCACATCCCAGCCTGGTATAATTTTTTTTTTTGTTTTTATTTTGAAACAGGTTCTCACTAAGTTGCTAAGGCTGACCTTGAATTATGATCCTCCTGTCTTAGCCTCCCAATCCCCTAGGATTACAGGCATGCACCACCATGTCTGGCTGAGCTTTAGTTCTATAAAATGTAACTTGGGTGAAGTTGGGCTGAAGGGTACATAACTATGTAATTTTGCAACTTTCTGTGAATTGACAATTTATTTCAAAATCAAATTTTTTCCAGAAAGTATGAATTGTTGATACACAGAATAAATCTTAAATGCATTATGCTCAGTAAATATAGCCATATTCAAAAGGCTACATATTTACTGTATACTTCTATTCATATGACTTGGAGGAAGTGACAAGGTTAAACAACAATGAACATATCAGTGGTTGCCTGGGATTAGGGGTTAGGGATTGGGGATTGACCACAAAGAGGAATCACTAAGGAATTTTTGGAGGCAGTGAAACAGGTGTGTATCTTGATTGGTAGTGTTAATTAAACAACTCCATGCATCTATCAGAGATTTAAAACTGCAGGACTGATGGTGCACACCTGTAATCCCAGCAATTTGGGAGGCTGAGACAAGAGGATTGTAAGTTTGAGGTCTGCCTTAGCAATTTAGCAAGACTGTGTTCAAAATAAAAATTATTTTAAAAGGCGAGGGCTAGAGGTATACCACTTGTGGGTTAAATCCCCAGTGCTACAACTAATGAACCAGCTGTGTGTACTGGTATCTTAGGTGCAAGTAAGTCAAAATATCTGTGTTCTGCTTGGTTAACAAGTGTATATTTGTAGCCCTTTCATATGATAGAATTCAAGTTGTTGTTTATAAAAAAAAAAAAAAAATAGGAGAAAACTGCCTTCCTGAATAGAAATCTAGAATAGCAACATTTATGGATATCACAAATAAAGAATTCAATTCTTAAAAAAAAAAAAAATCCCCAGTGCTACCAAGAAAAAAAAAATTGTAAAACTAAGTAAGTGTGAATTTTACTTTATATGAATTAAAAAGACAAAAAAAAAAAAAGAGAAACTAGGGTTTAAACAGAAGTACATTCTCTAAGAGTTCATCTTTTGATGACCAAGAATTTTCTAGAAATTTTTAAGAAATGTATGTGTTTTATTTTCCCACAGGTGATTCCATGAGTGAAGAAGACACGCTTCAGGCAGCTGTGACCATGTCCTTAGAAACTGTTAAAAATAATATGAAAACAGAAGGAAAAAAATAATACCTTTAAAAAATATCATCTAGATATTCACACTTTCCAACCTTGTCCTGTGTGGTTACAGCATAGGGTCCATTTTGGTAATGTGTCAAAGAGCAATGTTCATCAGAGGAAATAAGACCTTTAGGTGGTTTGCAAACACAATGAGGAGAAAGTGAAAAAATGCATCAGTTGAAGCACTAAATAATGATCCTCCAAAGACTAGCCCAAAAGCTAGTCAGCAATTAAAAAATTTAAAATGGTTTTCTAAATGTTTCTTTTTCTCTTTGTGTGTGCAATATCTAACATGTCTAAAATTAGTATATTTTTCTTGACTCTTTTTATAGACCAAACTAACTTGCTCTTGCCACTGAACTTGTTCAATGTGATTTTGTTCTCCTTTTCTCTGTTGGGTTGTAAGTAATTTGGCTGTCTTTCATCATCTAATAACTGCTTTTATTTCTCATGAACCAAATTAACCTTTCAGGAAAATGTCTGTCTGCCTCAATGACGGTATTAGTTCTGGAAGGATAAACCTTTCTCTCACACCTAATTGTATTGTGCAGTTGGATGTTTTCTCTGGTTATTTTCTTGGCTCACAATTTTTCTGCTAGCTAGATTTTATTATTTTTCTACAACTCTTTTGAAAGATGGTTATCTTTTCTGAGGTTTTGTTTTTTAAGCTCTCTATGATGGGATCATTATTTTATGACTTCGGTGCATTCCTAAATTCTGAAATCAGCTCTACACAAGTATTTGAGAATAAATGAGCATTAAAAAAAATGTGTGAGCACATGCTTTCTCAGATGCTTTATGAATGTCTTTTCAATTATGTCAGAACTTTTACAGCTTTGTTGTAATCCCTTTCTCCTGCGCCTTATTTCCTTTTTCTCCAGTTGGGAAATGTCGAAAGCATAGTGTGCAGGCACATTTCCTTGTGTTATGAGGCTTAACATATGTACCCACTATGAATGTATGATAGAGAAAAATCTGGCCTTCAATTTTAGTAATAGTTTATTTTAATTTTTCTTTTGTGATGGAGCTTTATGTTGTATTTACAATTGAATCATGGAATGTAGATGTCTGCTTCACATTTTTTAGGTAGGTAAGCTTGCCAGAGATGGTAATATGGAACATGAAATAGTTTACTAATGAAAATATATTTAAATTTATACTGTGATTTGACATTGCATCATGTTTAAATAGCTTTAGAGTTACTGAAGTCACAGTACTTAATGAGTCTGTAAATAAGAAAGTTCTTAGTTTTGATAAACATTGGGATGCACAGAGAGTTTCTTGCTGGATCAATATAGTGGTGTGATTTTGGTGAAAATTAACCACGTCTCACCTGGTGCAGTGGCGCAAGCCTGTTATTCTAGCAACTTGGGAGACTGAGGCAGGAGAATCACAAGTTGAAACCAGTCTTGGTAATTTAGCAAGGTCCTGCCTCAGAATAAAAAAATTAAAAGGCTGAGGATGCGGTTCAGTGGTAGAGTGTCCCTGGGGTCAATCCCCAGTGCCCCAAAACAAAAAGAAAACTTTACCATGTCTCTCTTAATGGGTGTCTGTCATCTGCTCCCCACCCCTTTTTGAAGCCCTTTTGAATGTTGAATTATTCATAAGCTAAACTTCAAGAAGAAATTTCAGCTGATAACTTAGAAAAGTAAAGTATGGCATGTTGTACCACTGGTTTGTGGCTGCACACATTTTATCAGGGAAAGCTTTTTGAGTTAGGATTATTGCTAACTGAAAAGAGATAAAAAAAAATCTTTATTTATGATTATGAAATAGCTTTTTCTTAGGACAGATTTTTTAAGTCATTATTTTCTGAAGTTTCCTTTACACAATATTAGACAGTTTTATTTTAAAATCTGAAGTTTTAACTATTGAAAATGTTACAGAATTATAAAACTTCAGAAATGCAAGGGATGTTAGAGCTCAAAGACTCCCTCAAAATGCACAAAGCTAAACGTTTTAAGACCAAACATTTATGTAATTATCCCCCAGTGTTCTAGCCATATTTTCCACGGATATTTGGCCTTTACTTTTTCTCTTTGAAAAGTTGCATTAAACTTTTCAGAGTGAATTGATGAACTACTTAAAAGTAAAAAACCAGCAAAGTTTTAACTTTAGAGTTTATTAGGTTTATGCATTACATGCCTTAAAGCACTTACAAAAGTATGGCATGTCAACCTTTGTTTATTAGGGACATTTTAAAACAGCAGAGCACACACTGGATGGATGTGTTTGTTTAGTTTCTTGTGAAATTGTCATATTTGGCAGGCAGAGCCAGAATCACCAGTCAATTGCCATCTTATTTGGATTGACCTAAATTTATCTGAATGATTAGATTTATCTTAATTGATGAGCCACTGTGAAAATATGCCAGTGCTTATAACAGTAGCATCAAAAAAAAAAAAATTGTTATGGAACTGCCACTTCCAGTAAGCCACCTGCAAGAAAGTCAGGAGCAAGCAAATTCATAGTAACTGTCCTGCTAAGAGAGTTATAAAGATTTCCATTCTGTTGTATCAATTGGGAACACCTTAATGTTTAATATTTAAACTATTGGTATCATTTTTCTAATGTATAATTTGTATTACCAAGATTAAATATGTATAGTGGTGATGCTAATATTTTAAGTAAAATTTAAGCAAACTTTGGGAAATAACACTCATATTTTTAGGTATTGTGGATTTACTAAGGGATTATCTGTTTTAAGTATTCAGAGTAGCTAATCTCTGATCCAAAACCATCGATATGCTTTTTATAGTAAATAACATACAAATATTCAGGAATATAAATTGTCTGAAACGGTTGCTGCAGGTGAACTCTAAATTCTAAGATTTTGGCCAAATTATTTACAATTCACAGAAGATTTAAGAGGTGCTTTTTTTTTTTTTTTAAACTTGATTTTCTTAATTGAAGTTTTATTCATGATGCCAAAGTTAATGAAGAAAGATGAGAACTAGTTGAGTTTTATTATAAGCAAAAACTACTAGTAGTTACGATTCATCTAATAGCAAGTTGAATAAAATAAAGTTTATTCCAGTCAGAACCTAAATCACATTTTCAGTTCTACATGTTTGATAGTATTTTTAAATCACACTAGTGCCAAGAGTTACTAAAATTCTTAAAACTGGTCATTGGACCTGTGCAAATTCAAATATCAATTCAGTGCATAATCAAAATGTGGTAATTTAAAAATCTTAAGTTGGAAAACTTTGCTATTTTAAGTTATTAGGAGGATTCCCAGCTAGGGATGTGGCTCGATGGTAGAGTGATTGCCCAAGATGTGTGAGGTCCTGGGTTAAATCCCACCATCTTAAAAAAAAGTTACTAGGAGGATTTAATAATTAATATTGAGACCACCTATTAAAAATGCTATCTGTGGAGGTCAGTAAAGCTCAGTGGTAAAGCCCTTGCCTGGTACACTCCAAGCCCTAATGTCACTCCTTTTCCTCTCCCTCCCCCCCAAAAAAACCCATTTTATCTTTAATTGGAAAGGCTTCAGGCCAGTATTTTCTAAGTGAATTCTTTGTTGTCTCTGAGTTCTAGCAAGTATAGAGAATGGGATATATGTGACCCTAATTAGGGGAAAAAAAAATTATCATTTAAGCAGTGTAAATAATTTTTCACTTTTTCCTATTCAAAATAAAACCTTTTCTACATTCCTACTTCCTTTATAACCATCTTTTGTTAAAGAAATGAATTGACTTTTGTTTTTTTTAAAAGTCTTATTAATAATAAAAACTTTTGTTCTATTCTTTCATGAATAAAAAGGTGATTGGCATGGTTAGTTCCTGAATTTTGATTCTTTTAAGAATATTTCTGCTGTTTTTATTTTTTCCAAAATGGTCTGGCATTTTAATTATTAATGCTAGTAATGTAACTTCTAAATTTATGGTAATTGGTATGTTTAATAAGTGTATTGATACATTTTAATACTGGATTCATAGACAAAATGGGAAGCAGGAAGTATTAGTGAGATGTGTGTGAAAACTCCTGATTTGTTTAGGCATCTTTCAGTTGTCTCTTGCATAGTTTAAAGTTGAATGTTTCCTGGGATATTTTTAATGTTTGTTTGTTTTTTTTTTTTTGAAAGAAGAAATCATAACATTTAAACATGGTTACCTAATTTCTACAACACTGGACTAGTATGAATACATTTTTTTAAAATTACTGTTCTGTATAAATGAAATATTTGGAATTCAAGTATAAAAAAACATGTGAAACAAAAGGCATTGTCTTTTGGCCATGATACAAGTGCACTATGGCAGTGCTGTTTTGCTCAGGACCCAGCTCTGCAGCCCCTCTGTGTGTGCCCCTCTCTTGTAGAGTTGTTTGCCGTTACTCCACACAGGCCTTCCTCTGGTCCTTCCAAGCCGGGCTTCCAAAGCACTGTTGAAAGCTAAGGATTCTATTGTTGATGTGGATATTCGATGAGTTGTATTTTAAATATCAAAGACTATTAAATAAAGAGAATGTTTGCTTTTTTATTTCTTTCTCTGTGTTTATTTTAAGTTCATAGTCTTGCTATTCAAAGTGTGGTTGGAGGGCCAGTAGCATCTGTTTCACCTGAGAGCTTTTCTGAAATGCAGTTTCAGGCCGCACTCAGCCCTGAATCAGAACTGAGCATTGGAAAGCTCCATAGCTCTGTGTTCTTGCCCCACTTCAGTGACAGATGCAGCAGACCAGGGAGCCCACTGATATTCCTGCCACAGGTTCCATTATTACCTGCGCCTCCAATCTTTTCCAAAAGAAGTTAAGAAGTCCACATTTTTATTTGAGATATGATTTTTAAATGCTTGTGTAATTGTTCTTTAGGCTTGACAAAGGGCATTGGTAATTTTTATTTTTACGCTGGGGATTGAGCCCAGGGCCTCATGCATGCTAGGCAAGTGCTGTGCCACTGGCCACATCCGTAGCCCCAAGCAACAATTTCTGTGTGCTGTTTTTCTTAATTTTACGCAACTCCACACTGGAATCCAAATATTGTAACAGTTGTGAGCCACATAACAATGTTTCAAAGAAGGACACCAGTCATTTTTCATTCCTTTTTATTGTATTAAAATACAGATAACAAAATGTACCATCTTAACTATTTTGAGGGTACATTTTAGTGGTAATAAATACATTCATAATTGGTTGCACCCATTACTACCCATCCCACTGCCAGAACTGTCTTCATCTTGTAAAACTGAAACTATACCGTGACACTGTAACTATGGAGCTTAACCCCTAGGTTCCCCATAATGTCCTCTGCCCCTTC